CTGGTGGACAGCTGCCTGCAACCCCAGGCCTCCATCCTCACCACTCTCCATGCGCAAGGATAATCGAGAACTACCCTTCCAGGTCCAACTGGGAAAACTCTGGTGAGGGACTTTGATTGGCCCAGCTTAGGTCAAGGTCCCATACCTTGGTTGAGTCCCTGTGTGGCAAGGTACATGGCTTGGTGATTGGCCGGCCTGGGTCATGTGTCTAACTCTGCGTAGGAGGGGGAAATCTGGGACACTGTGGTTAACTGCTCTACTGGGACCATGTGAAGTGGGAGGGGTTTCCCAAATGTAGAGTGGTGCTGTTACCCCCCTACAAGAAGACAGCGGACAGAAACAAGCGCTGCTGCATCCACTGTGTGCCACAAACAGCTCAAGCAGCTCCTTCCCTGGCCCCGAAGCATCGCCAGTGCAAGGCCATTTTGGGCAATAGTGCTTTCCTAAAGACAGAGGATAACCAAGAGCAGTGACAGGATGGTGACAGCAGGCCCGACGCCAGACAGGTGTTAATTATTTGACATTCTACTTTATTTTAAAGATCTGAACTCCTTGATGGCTTTCACAGAAAGGTTTTTTATCATTATTATTATTTTTTTTTTAAATGGAGGTACTGGGAGTTGAACCCAGGACCTCTTGCATGCTAAGCACGCACTCCACCACTGAGCTATACCCTCCTTGCTGAATATTTCACATTTTAAAGTCCCTGAGGCAACTCCCCCAGCCTTCTGGGTCAGCTGACAAGCTGCTGGAGCCAGCGCGCCCTCACCACATCACTCTCCTCCACTTCTCCTCTCAGTGCCTGAGGGGCCCAGGTAGCCTCCTACCTGGGCATCCGTAAGACACAGTCCTAAATTCCTGCTACTTTCTTATGCACAGCCACTGAATTCTTCATTTTGTTTCTCCTTCTAGACCTACATTTCATAGCCAAGAAAATTCATCAAGGTGTTTTCAAAAATAGAAGAGCAAATTCCCTAGAAAGAACCCTTCTAAGAATATGGTGATATTGTGACTTATAATAAGAAATATGTATTTGGTCTTCATCTTGCTCCTGGCTTGCAGCTCCTAAAACCCTTGTAATTTCCTAAGTGATAAGAATAACATCTTTTGTTATAGTATTTGGTCTTTTGTCCTCAAATAGCTCCAGTTCCTGAAATAGCGCCAGAGTGATAAAGGTGAAGGGAGTGTCTTGTTATTCACAGCAATCACACCTGAGTTTGTGTTTAGGCTGTGGTTTTTGGAAAGCCCCTAGATAACCACAGGATGGAGGCTGGTTGCCAGGGGAACCAGCGATTAGGTAGTTGAAACTTTCAGCCCCACATCTCCACCCTCCACCACCAGGAAGGGGAGAGGGGCTGAGGATTGCGTTTAATTGTAAATGGCCAATGGTTTAATCAGCTGTGCCTACATAATGAGGCCTCCATAAAAAAAATCCTTAGCACAGGGTTGAGAGAGCTTCTGCCTTGGTGAACACATGGAGATGCTGGGAGGGTGGTGCGCTCAAAGGGCGTGGAAGCTCCACATCCTTCCCCCATACCTCGCCCTGTGCATCTCTTCCATCTGGCTGTTCCTGTGTTACATCCTTTTTAATAAACTGGTAGTGTGGTAAGTAAACTGTTTTCCCGAGTTCTGTGAGCTGCTCTGGCAAATCAGCCCCACCCGAGAAGAGGGTCATGGAAACCTCCAGTTTACAGCCAATCAATCAGAAATGCAGGTAACAGCCTGGGCTTGCAATGGGCCTCTGCAGAGGGGGGCAATCTGATGGGACAGAGCCCTTAACCTGTGGGATCTGATGCTGACTCCAGGGAGACAGTGTCAGAGCTGAGCTGAATTGTAGGGCACCCAACTGGTGTCACAGAATTGCTGTGGAGGGAGGGGAAATGCCGCATATCCGGTGTCAGAAGTGAAATATTCTGAGTGTGGTAGTAGAGAAAAATAAGAATTTTTGCCTTACACATCCTCTCAGAGCAATGGTTCAAACTGCAGCTACCTGCTAACATGGTTTCTTCTGCCTATTCTGTGTGTATTTATGCACTGAAAACATGCCTCACCCAAAAATATTAAGGTGAATATTAGGGTTACCTCAGCATGGTAGCATCATTGTTAATTTTTATGGGTTTTGTTGTTTTTATTGTGTTTGTTTGGTTTTTGCTTACCTCTGTTTCTACAATTAACCAATGAAAGTGGTGCCACTCAAGGAGAAAAGGAGAGAGCCTGCTGCCTCTGTACCTTTTAGCAAGAAACATAAAACTCTTCCCTGAAGTCTTCTACCCCTGAGCCACCTCCCCCCCACCCCGCTTCAACCTAAACTCATTGGCCAGACTGTGTCACGTGACCGCCAGAGCCTGGCGTGGGGATGGAAAAGGGAGTAGTAGTTTGGTTTTCCAGCCTCAGTAGGGAGAGGCAACAGAGAGAGGGGTTGGGAATAATTATCAGGCTGAGCAACCAACAGTGTCCGCAGCAGAACTAAGACACAGTGAAAACAGAGGGGGCTGTGCAGAGTTTTCTCAGTCTGGTGTGGTGTTACCGCTTTGCTCTGTGACCCTGGGGGTCCAGAAGAGACTCCTGACAATAAAACTTAGAGCTCTGGGTTCTCCTTAAGATTTATCTCTGCTGTCAAAATAACCTTGCCCCACCTTCATTAGTACTTTGTGGCAATAGTAATTTTTTTTTTAATTTCAGTAATATGTTTTATTTACCCCCATATAGCCAAAATACTATGATTTCCACATGCAATCAATAGAAAAATTATTAATGCAATATCTTAGATTTTCTTCTTTCATAAGGCTCTGACATCTGTATTTTGCATTTACAACACATCTCAGTTTGGACTAGCCACATTTCAAGTGTTCACCAGCCACAGACGGCTAGTGGCTACCAAGCTGGACTGCACTGCAAGCCCTAGAGAGAGCTGACCTAAAGTTAGAGGGGCTCTAAAAAGATACTGATCTAGAGTTAAGGCGCTTGACAGTATTAGCAATAGTAATTATCATCACTATTTGCAAAGTGCTTTTATTTTTTGGTAGAGTGTTGCTGTCCTTGTGTTACAGTTGAAAAAGTAAACTCAAGGTTAATTTGATAACAAATTCACATTTAAAAGGGCACTGACTATTTCCCTGCCCCGCAGTGCAGAGGCAGAGGCTCAGGTACATTCAAGATTTCGCTCCACCTGCTAAACACCGTTTCAACCTCATTAACGCTGATGACAACGAGAAAGTCGGGGAATGGGCCTGCCTCTGTAAAACTGACAGAGAGGAAAACCCGGCAAAGTGGTCGGTTGCAATTGTGTGGAAGTTAAGGGCTATGGCAAAGACTCTCAGGCCGAGGACTTCAATTGCAGGAAATGAACAAATACAAAACTCGGGTCTAGTTAAATACATATAATTAGTTAATTAAAAGATATAATCCTCATTCAATTAAAACACTCAATCCTCATTCCTCCCAGCACCTGCCATTCAAGGACTCTTGACTCTTGGGCCTGATAAGCACAGGAAGTGATCCTTGTGTCATAAATGTGCTTCTCAGCTCCAAGCTAAAGGCACATTCTCTGCCCAGCTGGTTAACTCTTCTTGTCCTGCATAGCTTGTTCTTGAATCATATCTCTGGTGTGTTGCAAAGACTTCTGACCTGGGGCTTAGACCTGGTTTAGCATCTCTCTCATTGCTGGGCATGGGCAAATCTCCATGCTCTGTCTGGATCTGCTTTGCCCACAGTCATCTTAGCAGCACATTTTTTTCCCTGTTAGCCTGTTTCTATGGACACGCTTTGAAAGGTAAAGAATGTTCTCTCCATGCAGATATTTGTGATATACGCACATTCCTGCCTCATCCACACCTTCTCCCTCCTTTCTTTCCAGAAAGTGATGTCAGCATCCAGCCCTGTGCTGACAGATGCTCAGACCACTGCTAATTAGGCTGCAGAAGAGCATGCCAGATGAGGCTGTTCTGTTTAGCCCTTGGTTCACTGTGTATTGTTTAGAGAAGGAATGTTTTAAGGTAGAGGAAGAGGAAGCTTGCCAAGGATGTTTAATGTGATCTTGTAAACATTTGTTTTGTGAATAACTGTTAATGTTTCTTATTCTGGGCTCTTTATTTTAAAGAACTGAAAAGACTGGGCCTGCATTGTAGGTAAGAGTTCAGAAGTGTACGCCTGCATCATCCTGGGCTGGGTTGGCAGGCACTACTTGTGGCCTTTCCAATATCCATCCTCCCCTTCTTTCTTACCAACAGAACCTGAGTTTTGCTCAAGGCAGTACTATGCCCAATTAAAAAGGCTCACCTTCCTAGACTCCCTTGCACTTAAGAGTGGCCATGTGACCCAATTCTGGCCAATGAGATGTAGGTGGAAGTTGTTAGGTGGGGACCTCCAGGAAGCCTGTTTTAAAGGGGAGAGTCTTAGCTGGCATTTGCCCTTTGCTTTTTCCTTTTTCACGTGAAATGCATCCATCTTGTCTCCATGAACATAAGAGCCTCATGCTAAAAATAGGAAAGTAGGAAGATAAAATGACCGCAGGTCCTTGGCAACCCTAGGGAGCAACCTGCCTGCTGATGCCTTATGTAAAATCAATCAATTAATCAGTTAAACAAACAGACAAAAAGCCTATTTGGTTAACCTGTTGTACTCAACTTACTGTTCCGCGCAAACAATCTTAACTGATAGGCTGCTAGGGCGTTTAATGTGCTGTGATAGAAAATGTGTACAAATCGACTGTAGAGTCCTTTAGAACAGTGCTGCTCAGGCTTTCATGTGCATTTCCACCACTTGGAGAGCTTGTTAAAAATGCAGATTCTGATTCAGTAGGTCTGGTTTGGAGTCTGGGATTCTGCACTTCTCACAAGCTTGCAGCTAATGCTGATGATGCCAGCCCTGGACCACACTGTAAGGAGCAAAGATTTAGAAAATGACAGCTCTTTTGTCAGGCTGCTCCTCTGTTGAGCTATTCTGTTTTTCTTTGATATGCTGATTATTCAGTTTAAAAAGTCTGTAGAGGACTCACTCAATGCATTTTCAACAAAACGTGAAGGTTTTATTTAGAATATCATTTTAGAAACAAAAAGCAGTTCATTTTGTTAAGCAAAATAACATTTAACAAATGCATTTAAATAAGGTAAATTCAAGACTTTTGTGGATTTTTTTCACTTCGTTACTTGATTTTTCTGCCAGTTGGAGTTTCTGTCTTCCAGCCTCACTGGGTGCTTTCCAAGTGAATGCAGCTATAATCCAAGGAACTCCTTTATGAAATCTGAATGACTCAAATATCCCCCTATATTCTCACTCAATCCCCATGTATTAAATGAAACACAAGGAAAGTGACTTAGGGAAGTAGAATTGGAAGGAAATGTCTTCTTCTTGGTCATGTTATCTTTTTAACAGAGGCTTTGCCTGCTCTGAAATCGATGGTGAAAGTAAACTGTTATTGGGAGGTGATGATCATAAGAAAACTTAGATGGTTTTCACACCATCTGTCATCGTGACCGGAAGGAAAATGCAAGCCACAGCACTTTCCAGCCAAGCTACTGCTTTCCACAGAAGCTGCACACAGCTTCCTATTGTTATTTTCTTTTCTAGTTATGTACATTAAAAAAATACAACGTTGTGTTAAGTAGCAGGACAGCTAACAGTGGAACATATGACATTACATTGAGAAACCAAAATAGCTTGGTTAAGCTGACAAGAGAAACAGCAGATGGTCTTCATGGAGGGAAGCCACCAATGCCCACCATCTCCCTAGTCCGTGACGGATCTGCACTCTGAGGGTAGGCCTTCTGACCGCCGCCACTGGGCCAGGCGCTGCTTGAACCATTTCTGGAGGGGAGAAATGTACAAAATTACCTGTCACATACTGAAAAACTGAAATGTCCATTCCCTTTCTAAAAGTCGCCTCTGTGGCCCAGCTGGAAAGGAGGAAAGCAAGAACTGTGTCCATGGGGATGGTTCTTCTCACTGTGATACTTACCTTTCCTGCCTCAGGACCTTTGCACATACTATTTCCCATGCTCAGACTTCATTATTTATCTGATGATCTCAGTCTCATCCTCAGGGCTTGGCTTAAATAGAACCTTCTCAATGAAGCCTTCCCTAACCACTTTATCTAAAGTAGAATCTCTACTCATCTTCTTGTTTTCTATTTTAGTATTTTGTTACTATCACAGAACTTTTAATATCTGTAATTAATTCATTTGTACATTCACTTGCTTTTTAATCTACATTTCCTTCTAGAAATAAAGATCCATGACAGCAGAGACTTGTATCCATCTTATCATCATTGCATCCTTAGCCCCTAGCACAAGGGTTTAACAGAAATTAGTCAATGTTTGTTGAGTGAATAAAATAAATGGAAACATCTCCTTGATGCCCCCAGATAAATCTGTATGGCTGCTGTATCTCATCAATGTGTGCTGATCTCATCAAGGGCATTGCTCATCAGCAGTGCTTAGTAAAAATTCCCTGAAGAAAATGAATGGAAAACTGAGCATGGGACAACCTTGAGGCACTCCTTTTTGGGGGTTCATGGAATAGGCTAGCCCAATCTTTCCTGCTGCAGGACCACTGAGCAGTGAGAAAAGATAGAGTGGGACACCCAGTTGACTCAAAACCTTCTAGCTCTGTGTGTCCCAAATATTCATACCTCGCATAAGTAACCACGGATTTAGGGAAGGTCCCAGAAGGGATACTTCTAGACATAGTACCATGTGAGGGCTGAAACACAAATCTGCCTTTATTATACCACCAAGGGGTGAGGAAATCTGCAAAGGAGAGATAAGGAGACCCCTGTTGGGGAACAGTCTGGGGTATGATCCAGGTTAGCCAGGAGGAAACTGAAGTTTAAAAAAAAAAAAACCACAAGAGAAAGTAGTGAAGAAATAGAAGCAGCAAGCATTGATCCACATGGAGAGGATGAGTTGGAGGGCTGTGGGAAGGCAGGACCTCCAGGCTTTATTCTCCTGTGCTTCCTAACCTTTCACACATCAGGGCACACTTTGAGAATGATGATATTTTCATGTCACACTGCTTGGGGAGGTGACTGCCAGGGACCCTGCACTCCTGGGCTCTGCCAACAAGAAGCTCTATTATAAACAACTGGCTATGAGAACTTGAGGAAGTCCCTAAAAATAGAGCGCCAGTCAGCTCAACTGGAAATGAAGAGGTAAGCTTACAGGGTCTCCACTGTCCTTTGCTGGGTTGCTCAAATTTACCTATTCTAGGGATCAGTAGATGAGGGGACAGAAAAGTAGCAGAAAGAACATAGCTGTGGGATGGATGCCAGCCAGACCTGGGGCATGCTGACGGAGTTGGTGTGGTGGGCTCTGACTTAGCACAGCCAGATGTGGTTTCAGCCTCAGAACAAACGGTGGGCTCTAGGGCCATGCTGGGGAAGACCTTGTCCCTGCAGAGATCTAAGGAGTCAAAAGGCATTTATTTCAGCTTAAGCCCAAGATCAGAAGAAAGGGTGAGAACCACAGGGGAAAGAGTGCTTCTTAGATTCAACACCTGTAGAGCGAGAAGGGAGCGAGGCCACGGGATCGTCTGGGGCTCTGCACTGGGGCTCAGCTGGCTGAACAGCAAGGGGCCACACCTGTAACTCACCCTAACTGAGAGTTTACACACTCAGGTGCCTTACAAAGCCATCAAGATCCATCGTCTTACACACTCTGTGGGGCAGGGTGGCAGCAGAGAAAGTAATCTAAAGCCAGGGCCAGCAGACTACCCTTAGGGAAGCCTTCTCTTTGGAGGTGGTTCTCCACGTGCCATATTTCACTCCCTGGTATCTCTGACCTTAAGGAGGAGACAGCACACGTAACTTCGGTGGCTTTAACCAAAGTTCTGCTGCTCAACGTGGGCCTGTTTGCTTCTGTGATCATGCGTGTGTTTAGTTAACTCTGGAATCTGACGTGAGGGTAGCACGGTTCCAGTTTCATTAATGAGGTAGCTCTGCAGGGGTTTTGAGCCTAGAAGGTCTGATTAAACAGAATTTCCAGTTACTAGAGCTGAATAAATGGCAGAGTTTTAAAGACTGACTAATTAAAACTTGGAGGAGGAAAGGCTCGTTTTCTATCAGGATTCACTGAAGACAAAATGATTGAGCTGGCTTCATTCAGAAGAGCCACCCACATCTTTACACTAGTAATGAAGCAGAATATTAATGCACAGCTGAAAATAACTTCAGCAATGACCACATTTGTGAACCGGTGAGTTGGCATCCAAGTGCTTCACAAGTTGAACCCTAGCATTGAGGGACGGGAAGAAAAGCTCAACTATTTTCTGAAGATAAATATTTGAAATCAAGTGTGTATATGATAATTTAGCAAAACAGTTGCTCTCCAACAAAACCCATTAAACACCTTGCTTGTTTTTTTTCCCCTCTAGGGTTGAAAACTATCACATCTCACTCACATCAATATTAATTTTCCTCCTGGCTTTCCTCCTCTTCTTTGTTTCAGTCATCCCCTGGGAAAGACATTCACCCCTCTCTTGCTTATAAATGGATGCCCTCATTAGTAATGCCCATTGATGGAGATTTATTTCCTCCGAGGGAACAGATGATAATTAGACACTATGACGGGGAGGGGTTGAGGCAAAATAACATTATTCCTGTCCTTTTCTCTAGTAACTAACATTTCATTCCTTTCAGAGGAAACCTTTAGAGTTTTTTATTCCACTGATAGAACAACAACTAAAACCCAGGACATTAGAGGAGATAAAAATCCTGGAAACCTCTCTTAAGAACCAATGCCAGCTACACTGGGACTGAATTGGTGATAATAGAAAATGGCAAATCATCCCAACCTCCCTAAGGGATGATGAGAGCATTCCCAGCCCCTTTTCACACTGACTTCAAAATGAAAGACACAGGGGTTGGGATTCTGTAAAGTTTGTCTAATTTAAATATAGGAGATATCTAATTACTGTCATCAGAAAAAAAACCATTCTAGGGCCCTAGCAAATGCCCCTTAAAAAGTTATTTCCATCAGAACACCCTTCACCTCACCCTGGGTTCCCATAGGTGTCCCCTGTCCCCAAGCAGAGAACACTGTCCTACTGTGGAACAGTATAAAGAAGTCAAAGCCTCCGGTCAGAGAATGTTTCAAACTTTTGGTTCCTCTTGCTCCTGTCAAAGTATCAGCAATGTGAATCAGCTCTAGTGAACTATCTTACAGGGGCATTGCATGCTTCTTTTTATTCTCCTAGTATTACTTGTTCTAGGGAAATGAGTATGAATCCAATTCTGCAAGTGGGTGGTGATAGGGATAAGGGATCAGGTGTATGAAATAAATATTATTTTAGCTTTGATGACCTTTTCTCATGGAAAGGGGTAACACTAACAAAGAAAAGAAATAGGGGAAGTGCTGATACAAGACACTGCTTATATGGAGACCCGGCAGCCCCTGGCCTCCGTGAGTTATTTAAAAGGTCCCTGCAGAGACCCATTCTCACCCACCAGTGCACACGGGGAGGGGTTAAGGAAGGTTGGGAAGATGGGAAGTTGGAAGATGAGATCCCACCCAGTAGGAGATGACAGAGGGTTGCCAAAGAAGCCTCTTTCCCCGAACTTGCCAAATGTTGCCTCTTTCTGAGCTCTGGGGTCTCAGATGCTTCCCTGTGGTCAAGGCCCGGAAGACAGAGGGGAGAGACGAGCTGTGGCAGTCTCAGGGAGGAAGAAGGTGTTGGCTTCATGGCAGGAAAAGGAAGCCAGGGGCCCTGCTGTGAGGCTGACTCATCCCCCAGCACACTCACTTCGGGGCTGGGTCCACCATTTGCTCATTTGTGGATGGGAGAAAAGGGGAGATGGCTGAAGGGTGGCCTGAGGGGGGCAGATGACCCTGCTGTGTAGGGGTCTGAGTTGGCTGACCTCAGTTACAGAAAGGTGCCCTTTCTTCCTGTCCCTGACCTGATTTCTGTTCAGTTCTGTCATATAAGGTGAATCTTGAGGAAAGATCACATATAGTCTGGGATGACTGTCATTTACTGAATTGGGTTTTTTTTCTCAGGAAGAAATAGAAAATACATTGAATTTTCAGTCCTTCCTTCCCATCCCTACCTAGTTGTTTCCATTCTGTTTTTTTTGTGGAGACAAAACAGCCTGGTGGTTAAGAGTCTGGACTGTGGAGCCAAACTGCCAGGGTTCAGATCCCATCTCTGCTACTTCCCAGTTGTGGTTGTGGGCAAGTTACTTAACCTTTTGGTATGAATAAATGGTTGACCACTTGGAGAGTACCTGGAACAACAGGTCATTTAATAGGTGGCAAGTATCACCTGTAATTATTCTGCTTTACAGGTAAAGAAATGACAGAATCTTGCCAAGGGAGAATCCGAGGCTGATACTGACCCACAGTAAACCCATAGTCTTCTTTTTAAAAAGATGAATTATTGTCTCTGTGATCACTCCTCTTTTCTAAATATAGCATGGGATTTTAAATGACAAAAGGTCAGCAGGCTGCCTCCTGCAGGGGAGAGAGGGTTCTAAGAAACACGAGCTGTTAGACTTGGATTACAGTAAATCACCTTCCATTAAGTTCTGGTTCTGGTGAGCCAGACAGCTGTTCCCTTTGCTAAAAACAAATACATTTGACTTTCTGTTTGACCTAGGAGTGGGCGGGTTTTCTATGGGCAAGTTCTCTTGATTAGTAGGCTTGATTAGTAGAAATCATTTGGGACTTGAGATCTAAAATGGATCTTGGGGTCTTGGTTTCGGGATCTATAGGAGCACCCATTACAAGCTTTTAAGCCTCAACTATGATTCGTGGTGAGGAGAGGACAAAATGTCTGATGCTTTCTCTTGTCTATAAAAAAGTGATTTAAAAAGTCTCTGTTTAGACTTGAGACTAGAGGTGTGAAGTGCTTTGGGCTCCCATGGGAGAGATGCTAGAGGAGTTCCAAGTAGTAGTATCATGCATAACGAATTGCCTTTCCATGACCAAAGGGAAGACAGAAGTCAGAATTTAGGCAGGATTAAAAAAAAAAAATCAGTGGAAGGAGCGAACACTGCACCTAGTGGTTAAAAATCACGGGCAGTGTTGCATTCACTACCTTAAACAATATTCAGGATAGGAATTTAAAAATCAGTCAATCAATCAATGCACTTAGGTGACATCTGCTTCCATGACCTCCAGCTGTAAAATCGAATGTCTGCCTTCTCAGAAAACTCCAGAAAAAGACCGTAAAGCTTAGAGCTGTGGAATTTTAAAAAATCGGGACCAAATCTCCCTGGCTCCGTGCAGTTTTAGCTCCGCAGCTCAGCGGAAGCTGCAGCGTAATGTAGTGGAAAGAGCATGCCTAACGACCCATTGGCAAGTCCCTGTCTCTGAACCTCCGTTTCCTCGTTTACCAAACCTGAGGACTGAATTTACAGCTGATCGCTGAGATTTCTTCCAGTTCTGACATTCCCGCCGATAATAGATTTGAGGGCACTGGGCTCAGAGGGCGCACACGGCACCTCTCCCAGAGGTTTCGCTCACAGCCCAGAGGAGAAATAGAACCCCGGAAAAGCCAGACAAGTGGGCCAACGCACGCTGCTCCCAAGCCAGAGAGAGGAGAAAGCGTGTATCCTGGGCTGTAGTGGAGAGTGGAAAAGCAAGGTGAAGCCGGGGTGGGCGTGAGATTTCTAAGCAGCTCCTGCGGGAGCCACCGGGCTGGGGTAGAGGGGCAGATCCGGCGCCCGTGGAGCCGGGAAGCTGGGATGCTGCGGTGGGATCGATGCAGGTCTGGGCTCCCAGTGTGCGGGCAGAATCAATGAAAGATCACGGGGAGGCAGGCCAAGCAGGAGACGGGGGCAAGGGCAGTTTCTCGAGATGGCCCAGGCGAGGGCGGGCGCGGCGGTGCGGGCAGGCAGGGGTCGGGGCGGGCAGGGCGCGTGCAGGGGCTCACCTGGGTCTCCTCCTCCGAAAGGCCGGCCTCGGCCGCGATCAGGCACAGCGTGGTGGGGTCCGGGTGCTTGTTGACCTTGTTGAAGTTGTACTCCAGGATCTCCACCTGGTCCT